CCCTTTTTAGTGACTTTTAGGACCTGCCTAGACTCTGTCTATGGCTGGTTTGATCACCTTTTGTTTGCCTCTTGCATGTGTAGAACAATCCCTTGCATAGCCTATCAAAGTAACACCTCATTCTTGCATGTATTGGTCATGTTTCAGTGGGTTTTTGGCCATCATTTGGCATGCCATGATTCTGTTTTTGGCTGGTTTGGTAGCCTCTCATATGCTTCACATGCTTGTAGTGTAAATCATGTTCACTAGCTTATAATGCATGTTGTTTTGGCCCTCTATGCTAGCATATTTTGGCCATGCTCCAAACTGATTTTGTTCATATTTTGGGCTGCCTTAGCTCTATTTTGAGGTCCCTTGGTCGAATGATGCTTTCCATGTATGGTTGTAGTGTAATAGCCTTGCTTAGCCTTGAGTTTTGAATCCCCTTGCATGCTTAACTTGAGGTGTTTGCATGTTTTAGCATAATTGAGCATGATATTTCAGAGTTTATTTCTTGGTCATATTCTCATGTTTGTTACTCTTTCAATGTGTTTCAGAGTTGGATCATTATACCCCACTTATGAGCCTTTACATTGAGTTTCATTCTTATGCCTTTCAAGCCACCATCTTGGCTCATTTTGCCACTGTTTTGGGCCTGCTTAAGGTCTGTTTGGAGTTGGTTTTGTCATTTGAGTATTGCCTTGCATGCCTCTAGTGTAATGTGCTTCACTAGCTTCGGTACTTGAGCCTTTCAACATGCATTGTGTGAGTTGTTTGCATGATTCGGAGCCATTTTGTATGTCATTTCAGAGCTGGAACATGTGTCATTATATGCCATATTTCATCCATTCAATGCTTTTGTAGAGTTACATTTTGTGCCCTTGGGCTTAGGTCCTTGCAGTGTGTATGCTATCATGAGTTTTGGAGTCTTGTTTTCATCATGTTTGGCCACTGATTTGGGTGTGGCTGAGACCCATCCATCTTGGTTTAAGTCCATTTTTACATTGAGTATGCCATTGTTAGTTCATAGCATTGTGTATGCTAGTTGCATGTTTGCATGTCATCTTTTGTATGTTTGCATGACTTAAGTTGCATTACATTAAGATTGCATGCTAGAGTTGCATTTGTACATGCCATGACATTCTACTTGTTGCGTGTTTGGAGTAGAGGTTAGTCCAAACACGAGAAATGAGGGATGTTTCGTACTCAAAGTGACGAAACGTGCCTCGATTCCCGGTCGCCGACACTCTTGACTACCCATGACGGAGTTGTTAGCTTTAGGTGCTTATATGTGCATGCATTTCACATTGAGTCATGCAATTCGACTCCTCGGCCATCATGCATCGGGATGCGTGATTGGTGGCCCGAGGGTCGAGGACTACACTCCCTAGAGCTTATGCAATGACGGGGAGAGTGGTCGTGCACACATATGTTGAAAATACTTTGTCGTGCCCTTTCCTTTCCCTTTGTTGCAGAAAACAGAAACCGGGAGAAGGAATTGGTCGGCCGACTAGATTTACTGGCTGGCTGACCACTTTTTTTGGTTTCCATCACAAAAGGTGGTCAATAGGTGGTCTCCCATGCCTATAGCTGGTCGGCAGCCTTCCAACAGTCTCCCAGGGTGGAGTTCCATCTCTCTGGTAATTGGAAACAAAGGTGAGTCGGGGCATCGCGATGGATTTCCCGACAAGGCGACTCGAGCATTCATGCGTCCTTTGTCATCCAAAACAGAGCTAAGGCAGCCTACTTCATTTATTTTACATGCTTATTTAAATTGCTTACATAGTTATTTTGTTAATTAATTAGAGTTGTGTAATAATTAGTTGTAGCTTGTTATTCATTTTGTTGTGTAATAACTAGTTTAATTAGATTAGCTCAGATTAGCTAGTTGGTTCTGTATTATTCATTCGGACCCTCCGTCGAGAGGGCGAATTTTGTAATAAGTGTGCGTATGTGTGATGCATGTCTTCCAAGAGGAAGAGAAGAGAAGAAGAATGTCTTCTAACCCCACATAAGTGTGTATGTGTGTGCTGCATGTCTTCCAACCCCACGCCTTTCTCCCTTTTACTTACCTGCTTTCGATGGTTAGTTTTAGGGTATGTTTCAATTAAAATCCTTATGCTTCACATGTTTGCATTCATTCATCTGTCTTGCATGCACCAGGCTCGACGCATCATACTAACTGCATTGTATTTCAATTCCAAGTTGAATACATGTTATCTGTAGCATCTCATATGCCATCTTAGAATAGTCGAGCCTATCTTAGTTGCATTCTTGCATGTGTTGCATTAGCCATCTTAACATGAGCTAGGATCATGCATTGATTACTAACTAGTTTCTGTTTTGGGCTTGGAGTACTCGGTAAGTGTTTACGCTTTAGCATCCTTGCATGTGTGTGAGTGATTGCCATGATAGCATGCTTACCATGAGCCTAACTGCTTATGTGATATAACTGCCTGAATGCCTGTGGGTGAAGGTTGTATTACTTGATTTGGGACAATTCATTGAAATATGTATTTTAGCCTACTTGCGAGTAGCAAACTTCAAACCATTTTCCAAACAAACGGATATGCAATGCTTTGTTCCAACTTAGGTGATCCAGCCTATACTTGTTTGCTGTGCGCATCACATAATAATTCTAGCCTAATAAACTGAAATAAGAACGCATGTGTTTTCAAAAATAAGATATCATGTTTAGTAGTGGCCGATCTTTGATCGGGCAAGCGGGGGTGCTCATTGCATGACCTTCCCCAATCGTACCCAAGTTCCCGAGCCGAGGCAACTTTGGTGATGACGGACATGTGGCCTTAGGCACGAGTCAGGGTTTCCTAAATTCCTCCAAAATAAAATATTTAGGTGGCGACTCTATATCTAGCAAAGCAGTCCATGTTTGGCGCTTCTTTCTAAAAATCAGTTTTTCAAAACGATTTGCCGGATTTGGACTCTTTGGTGATTTATCAATCTCGCATTGCACTTTGTGAGATTAGATTCAGAACCGTGACATTTGAGTCCGAGCTGTAGTGAGCTCCAATGAACAAAACGGGATTTTCCTGGGACGTTCGGGCGCGTCTACAGTTTCTGGCGACTCTGTTGGGGAGTTAGAGAACTTGACTCGAACTCATGATATCTTGTTTTGATTACACTTATGTGTCTCTTTGCATTGCATTTGCATTGGTGCGCCTAGGACACCGTGTTTGCCATCTTCTATTCCTAAACAGTTTGCCGGAGGCTCGCTTTGAGAAACGTACCATAAGGCTGACCAGTTACGGGCTCTGCCACGATGGGAACACAAACCCCGATTTTTATCGGGGCACCCTTTTTGACCATTCGACCAAGTGCATATTCGGAATCCATAGTGACCATCCCAAACTAGGACAGGTTGCTTACCCGGTTATAGGTTGTTTGAAATCGCTATGTGCGTAGTGAAACCCTAGCTCCTGACAGAATAGGATAGGGAAACCCTACCCCTCCATAGGGGTGTTTTTGGCTCTCACTTGTTTGCTATGTGCTTTTAGAGTGTGTCTCTACAGGAATGCATGTATCAGTTTGCAAGTCTGGGTATCAGGCCTGTGGGCATCAATATTTTGAGAATCAGTTATATCTGCGAGTATCAGATTCAGTTTTGGGGCAGTAATTTGGGGAACAGTGATCAGTGGTCGAATACAGTTATTCAGCTATGCTCATATCTGTTTTGGTGAAATCAGGCTGAGATGCTATCTGTTTTCTTCTTTTGCAAGGTAGTCTCGGAACCATAGCTTCAGAAGGCTCCAACATTCCCCGGGTACATTGGACTTGTGTCGTCTTGGTTACGTGGCCTGATAACCGTTGATGCAAGCTTGCACAATGCCCGCATAATAATTTTTATGTGCCGACAAATTGTTTCCGTGGAGTGCTAAAATCTATCTGCCAATAGTCGATAGCGATCATTTTGTGCAAACGTGTATAAAAAAATTTCAAGCGATTCCTCGACACTTATATGCATATGCTCAATATCGATAAAGCCATTTTGGAGTAAAGTGTCTTTCAATAAAATGAATGTTTGTGCATCCATTCGCGTAATGTTCATCATTGTTTTTGGATGGCCATTTAATAGGCCGAAGATGTAATCATCACCTTTGAATGGACACGTTCGCTGCGGTCGGCGACTACTTGACGCGTTGATTTGGTCATGCATGAAAGCAATCATCAAAAAATCCATAAAATCATCAATAACCTCATCCTCCTTTGATGAGATCTCCATTGTATTATTTTCTCTGTCGGATGACATATGGTTTTGTCTACATCACAGTAAAAGCATAATTATAAAATATGTTATTCATGCTGTAACACAAACCATTATTGGTGAAACAGAATTAAAAAGGAAGTATATGAATAGTCTGCCGTAGTTATTTTTCAGTGTACAATAAAATTCATAGAAGGACAAAAATTATTTAATACGTGGTCATATTGTAATAACACAACATAATAGATAAGAAAACAGAAATTACTTAAAAGTTCAACAAAAAAAAAAAAACATATGAAGATAGGAAAGGAAAGAGGATATCATGGAATGAAAAAAAAATAAAAACCAAGTAAGGAATAATGAAATCATCAAACAGTTCAGACAAGGAGATTTGATAACACAAGCAAAACAAAACTTCTGACTTCACTGCAAAGCGAGGATCATGGCTAGGCGCAAATGGGTAGGAGTGCACATAAAAAACCTTCGCCATTCCTTATCCTTGAACAGTGTCAGTGCCCTAACGTACTGCAATGGTGGTATGTCCCCAAGCTCTAGTAATGCATCTTGACATGCATCAAGGGAGTAATCATCACCACCTGCACTTACAGCCTCTGTCTCATTTTCTCGTGCACGTGAATGTCCTGTTTTTGCTTGTACATAGGATGTGAAAGCTGTGCACACATCATCAAACCCACTTGACCGTGACTTTTTGGAACGACCACTATCAGTCTGGCTGGTTGTAGGGCCCCTTTTGTGACTTTTGCCCTTTGCTAGATCCATGTACTCATCACCGAATAAGTCAACAGGCAGCATTACTCCCACCAGCATTACTCCTACCAACATCAGGGTTCCAAAATTTATTTAACATGTCATCTTTTTCTTCTGAGTCAAGGGCTCCTTGTGTGGATGCACGAGATAAGGCCCTTGTGGCACAACAATTTTCAACAATTTCTGCCATTTCTTGAAAATATTCAAATCCTTTTGTCCTAAACTTCTTCACATTTCTGTTGGCCTCCAACAATACAAATAAAGAATTAAGCACTGTATGTATCATGAAATGTTTAAATTAAAATTATTTAACAATACAGATTAATGAAAAACCTTATCCCAAAATTCATCGAGTGTAACAACAGTGCCTACAATTGGATCCCATCCCAGACCAGTCTGTGCCTGAAGTCGCTTAAATGTCTGGTAATCAGCTTTCAATCGCTGATATTTTTGGCGCACCTGCTTTCCTGTATACCGAAATCCATACATGTTGTGCAACTGATTTGCATAATGATTCCAATGCCTAATTGTCCACGAAGTAGTACGGCCCGTTGTTTGATTTTTACTAACCTTATCTCTCAACATATTTATTAATTTCGTTTCAATTCTGGGCGTCCACATTTTTGTATCTTGGTTGTCATCGGAATTATTTCCATCCATCTATAAACATACAAATTATATTTAAACTAGTCTGGGGTAAATATACAAGACTAACAAAGCATAACAGAGCAAAATGGTTTCAAGGAGAACACAGATAAAAAAAAAAGAGCAGATGATATTATTTCAAGGAAAAAAATAGCGTAACAGATTACTTGAATTTAAATAGCAGAAATATAACCACAACTAATAAAAAAATAGGTAAAAAATCAGGTAACATTATCTTTGAATGGTAGAAAAAAACCAGTAAAAGAAGAAGTAAGGAAAACCAGTAAAAGAAGAAGTAATGAAGAGGAAAAAACAGAGGACGGGTAGGTCGACCGGCCAGATGACCCGGGGGACGACCGGCCGAGTGTCCCAGGTACTGCCGGCTCAAGTTCTTTTCGTGCAAAGGTTCAAACAGTTCAGAATTTAAAATACCAACCAATCTGAAATGAAAAATACGCGTCTACAAATTCTGAGAAACCATTTGGGAACTGATTTCAACTTCTCTGAAATCATTTATACATAACAGATGAAGATTGATTTACTAGCCTAATGCTATTCTTCTTGGCAAAAGGTTGAAACAGTTCAGGAAAATCACAAAACATCTTAAAGTAAAAAAATAGTCGCCTACACTTCTCACAAAAGATTTGAGAACTCATTTTGACTCGTCTGAAATCATTTGCACATCACAGATGAAGGATATATTTACCAGATTAGTGGGAGTTGAATAGTTATCGCCGGTGATGGATTGTGTATATTTACTGAATGTGCCACTCTTTGCTCGTCGGATTCAACAATAGATTTGATAAATTTGACCTGAAAAAAAAAATGAAATTAGGGATGAATTTTTCAAATCATTTCCCTATAACAAAATTTGTAAATAAATTTGTGAGTTATTTCACCTCGCACTCGTCGTTGTTTTGTTGCCCGTAATAAGAATCTTCCACAACGCACAAATCGTAAGTCAATCGATTTGTGAAAGATGATACCAGTACAAAGCGGGTTGGGTGGATTCATTATTTATAAAATGAGTCTTCTCTGTGAAGCCCACCCGTGATGAATCTGAAGTACTGATGTTTGATACAGAGAAGCCTATCCGTGATGAATCTGAAGTACTGATGTTTGATACAGAGATGAGGTTCACGTGAAAATTTCAGAGACGATGGAGAAGGACATGGAAGGACATGGAAGCTTTTCAGATCAAAAGAGAAAGAAGGCAGAAACGTTGAAAGTAAAGATATAAGATGCCAAATAGGTTTTCAAACTGTAATTTGAATTAACATGCGGAATTGTATTTTGAATGTCCTATCCAAACGTGAAGCACGAGTTCACGTGTTGAAAGTTAATTTGAAAATTCAAACAAACAGAGCCTAAAATATTCTGAATTTAATATTAATTTAATGTTAATATTGAAGCATAGTTTTTATAAAATTTAAATTTAATGAAAGGTTTCAATTTTATCACGACTATAACTCTCCAAGGTCCCAAGCCAAACACTGTTCCTCTTTTTAACTATGTTTATATCTCCAATTCCACCTCTCGGTTTAACTCTCCTCCCCCCATTGAGAGAGAGAAAGAGAGAGGGCTAGTAGAGACCATGAGGGTGCGCCAAACCCCTTGAAATGTGCACTCCACTGACCCCTCCCTCCCTCTCTCTCTCTCTCTCTCTAACACAGCTCAATACCCTTTCGAACACCAGTTTCTTTATGAGAATCCATCAGAGATTGTTCAACCAATATCAGATTTTGAGCTGAATATTTTGTTCTTTTTAATCATCTGGGTATCTTCCAAACACAAATCTTTGATGGGTTTTACTTTTTGTCAAATATTTGTGTGTATTGGTGGAATAATTGGATTGGGTCTCTGAGTGTATCTCTTGTTTTGATCGTTTGATGTGATTATGCTTTTTTGTATTTTTTTCCCCCCTTTTGTTTTAATATGTGGGTTTGTAATTAACTGACTATTGGGATTTCAGGAATGGTTTGGTTTACTAATAATTGTTAGTTTGTTTTTTTAAATTATTAATTATTTAGGTGTCGTTTGGTAACACTTACGTTTTCAGTTTTCTGTTTATATTTACAAAAATTTTAAAAACTCAAATAAAAACTTGTTTGGTAAAATTTCTGATTTATAAATAAGTGGACTCAGTTTATAAATTTGGCCAAAAAATGAAAACACAAAAAATGTGTTTCCGTTTTAAGTTTTGAATTTTTTTTTTTTTACTACCCAACACTAGCCACCACCCACCACCATTTTCCACCACCGTCTTCAGCCGCCACCACCCCCCACCCACCCCTCACCACCACCTACCACCACCACTCACCTACCACCACCACTCACCTACCACCACCACTCACCTACCACCACCACTCACCTACCACCACCACTCACCTACCACCACCACTCACCTACCACCACCACTCACCTACCACCACCACTCACCTACCACCACCACTCACCTACCACCACCACTCACCTACCACCACCACTCACCTACCACCACCCACCACCCACTTGCCATCCACCCGCCACTCGCTACTACCATCCACCGCCCGCATCCACCGCCCGCCACCTACTTGCCACCACCACACACCAGCCACCTGCCACCACCAGCCCCCCACCACCACCTGCCACCTACCCGCCACCACCACCACCACCACTCACCCGCCACCCACCACTACCACCTACTCGCTACCACCCACCACCCACCACTCGCCACCGTCACCCACTCACCCACCATCACCACCCGCCACCTACCAGCCACCACCACCCATCCGCCACCACCCACCACCACCACCACCACCCACCACCACCAGCTACCCACCACCCATCGTCATCACTTTCCACCACCCTCTACCGCCACCACTTGCAATTTCTCACTCTTTTTTGTATTTTTAAATTTTTTTAAACATTTTGTCAATTACTAAACGCGTTTGTAGTTCATGTTTTTCTAAAAATAAACAAAAACCAGTTTATAAAATTTTTGTAAATATAAACTGAAAGCGTAAACGTTACCAAACACAAAGTGTTTAGTGTTTATTGTTTTATTGGATTGCTTTGGAACGGTTTTTTTTTCTTCTTCTTTTTCCTGAACATTAGGATGTTTGCTTAACAGTCCTCTTGGTAAGTTAGGTAAGGAATGAAAAGAAAAGATTATGGTAGTGAGGAAAAGAAATAATTGCGGTTTCTCACATTATGTTTGGATGAACATGATAAAAAGAGGACTCTATTGGTGTTCTTTTTTCTTTTTTTCTTTTTTTTTAATTTTTTATTTAGATGACAATTTAGGTATTATAAAAATTTTACCTTTCTCACTAAATGGCACCAAGCTTGGTGAAAAATAGAACATGAGTTTTAAAATATTTCACTTTCTCTCAATTTCTTCCTTTCACATCATTTTGCTGCTCCTCATTCATCCAAATAAGTGATAAGATTTTTGTTTCTTACCATTTATTTTCTTTTATAGTCAAACCCCTCAATCCAAATGGGATGTGGATTTGGTTTTATTTCTTTTTGGGTATTTGGTGTTTATAGTTTTCCTGGATTGGTTTTAGGAATTAATGGCAAAAAGAAGTTAAGAAGAAGCCCGAAGTGGTCATACAGAGAAGCGAGTTTCTACCATTTCTCAGAAAACTGAAACTGTTGCCCAACAAAGCATTCCAAGCACTGATGATGGACTTTCAGTCATAAAAGAGAGGAAAGTGTGTTCCCATCTTAATAAGGGTATTGATTTAGCTAAATTTTCTTCAAGAATAAGTTCTATAGAACATATTAGGTGTGAAGATTGCAGAGAAGGTGTGGTTGATAAGCAGGCAATAAGGGAAGCGGCAAGCAGGTGAAGAAGAGAGGGGGAGGTTCTGTTGACAAGAAACCTGAGTCTAAAGCAATTTGGGTTTGTTTCGAATGCGGTCATCTTTCATGTGGGGGGATTGGATTTCCAACAACCCCTCAAACCCATGCAGTTCGGCAAGCCAGGAAAACTCGTCATCCATTGGCTATCCAATTTGAAAGACTTCAACAACGCCGGTGCTTCCCTTGCAATACACTTATTCCAGTTGAAAAATTGGAGGAAAGTGGTGAACAGAAAGATCCGCTGTCAGATATTGTGAAATTGATAAGGGGGCGATCATTTCAAGGGGCCTCAGTGGACGTTGAGGATGTTTATTTTGGGAGTGGCAGTGTTATAAGTGAGATAAAATTAGAAAACACCATTGTAAGTAGTTTGTATGGAAAAAGTGGTTATGTGGTCAAAGGCTTGGTTAATCTTGGTAATACTTGCTTCTTTAATTCAATCATGCAGAATCTCTTAGCAATGGGGAGATTACGGAATCACAGCTTAGAGTTGGATGAGTCGGTAAGTCCTCTTACCGTCTCTTTAAAGAAGCTCTTTATTGAAACTAGTCCAGAGGCTGGCTTGAGAAATGTGATAAATCCAAAATCCTTTTTTCGGTGTGCTTGTGCCAAGGCTTCCAATGTAGGGGGCATCAACATCATGACAGTCATGTGTTGCTTCATTGTTTACTCGATGGGTTGTGTACTGAAGGGTTGTGTGAGAAAACAAAGTACTTCTCTGGAAAATGGGATTTCCTCAAATCTGGGTCCTACTTTTGTTGATGGCATCTTTGGGGGCCAACTATCCAGTACTGTTTCTTGTTTGGAATGTGGGCACTCTTCAACAGTGTTTAAGTCATTTCTAGATCTCTCACTTCCAGTTCCAACTAAGAAACCCCCATCTAAAAAGGCCCAACCTATTTCTGAAGCCCAGAAACCAAAGCTGCCTCCAAAACGAAGTGGAAGGATTCATCCAAAGTTTAATAAGGATGCAGATTCTGTAGCATCTGAAAGTGTTTCAGTTCCGTCAGCTGGTGGTTCATCTTCTTGCCAAGTAGAATCTACTGTGCCTGTCGAAGAAAAAGTGGGAGATGCTTTGGTTGATTCTACACTGTTTGAATTCGTTGGCCCTAGTACAATGGCAGATAAAAAGAGTTCAGTTTCATCGAATCTATTGACTACTAAAG